ACTGAGCCACCCAGGTGCCCCGGTCTTATTGTTTTAAATAGGGTGGTCAGGAAAAGCCTCACCGATTAGGTAACTTGGTGAAGAGATGTAAAAAGAGTTGGTTCCAGACATCTTTAATATTTCCCTTTCACAAATCATTTGAGTAGCAGAAGTGGGAGAGCCCTGATCCAGTGTTTCTGTTATTTTTTACCGCACATGGGAAATAATCCAACTTTTTATGCCTTGAGCATGGCACCTTCAGCACAAGAATATGGTTTTTACACAGAAATAATACATGGTAAAAAATTTTCCTTAAAGTTATATGCCTATTGCACAGACCCACTCAACTGTCACTCTTTGGGGTCTGATTGCACTAACACAACCATACACAGGAACATTAGCTTTTTTCCCCTATTCATTCATGTGTTTGCTTTCTGAAGTTGACTTTGAGCCTACTGAAGGCAGGGGTGGGACAATGATTTGTTCATCTTAGCAGCCTCAGTGCTTAGCCCGGTGCCTGGCATTTGTCGGGTCCTCAATGCTTACCAGTTGAATAATCACATTTTGAAAGTAAAATAGACATTGATTTCAAACAGCTTAAGAGATTCATGCCCAGTGGCCACATTTACCTATTAAACTGCCCAAAGTAGATAACTGTCTTACATCATGATGACCTCTGACCTTCTTTAGGCCCTATATGGAGCTGCCACGAGGACTCTGTAAAACAAAGTGATGGTGTTTCCAACAGCAGTACGTCCAGTATGAGGAACTTTAAGAGGTTTCTAATCCCCATTTTTCCCATGACAGTGCTGTAACATGGGACCTCTGTCATACCCACATATTTCTTCTACCTAGGTGACAGATCATTTGGCTAGGTTCTCTTTCTGACTAGATTAGGGGACAAAATTATGACAGTTTATGATATCCATACTTGAGAGAGCAATGAAAGGGGGCAAAGGAAACTAAAAGCTTTATTTTACAGTGGAGTCCTGATTCTAGACCTTACTAATTGTGTGGTTTTAGACTAGTTGCTGCATCTCTGCAAATCCATGACCTCATCTGTAAACTGGGAGTAATAATTACTATCGTTTGGAAGCACTGTTATGAAGTATCATTGTGTTGATCATAACAGTATTATTATGAAGGTTAAGTTGGATAATATATAAAGCATTTGGTAGAGTGCCTGGTACGTGATGTGAGTGTTCAGTAGGTTTTTGTTAATACTTTCACTACTACTATTAATGTTACTATTAGAGAAATCAGGCAAGTAAGATTTTTTAAATCAGTTGTTGAATGTTTATATGATCATTGAGGATGATGCTCATCAATATATTTGCACTTCAAAATTTACCTCCTTCTATATACTTGTAATAATATTAAACCAAGTAACATTTATAATATTCTTGAATGTCTCTCTTATCACTTAAGAATATGAAGAAAACATAAGATATTATATTAAAAAAATGTCAGCTGCAAAATGGAATGGTATCTCACAGAACATTTCTGTGGTTCTGGAGTGCCCTATATGCTAAGGAGCACTTTAGCAGGCATTTTACCATCATGGTGGTTGACATAATCTCTGTCACTCTGAGACTTTTCTTGGGGAAAGATACAGTCAATGGAAGTCCTTATCTTTTTAGGTGGAAAAGTAATGCCTTAATGAGGTCTGAACTCTAATCTGATAACTTTCATTTCTTGTTTCCTTAGAGTCTTGAAGTATGACTAAGGACAGAAACCAGTAGCAGCACAGACATCACCAAGTTGTGTGATTATGGAGATGGTCTACCTGATGCTGAAAATGTATCTAGTTTTTTGACAACGGCTAAATAACCATGGGGTCAAGCGGGCTTGGAAAAGCAGCAACATTAGATGAACTGTTGAGCACTTGCATTGAGATGTTTGGTATGAGCCTTTTCTCCCTGTGATATAGCTTGATACTCTCACTTCTCCCTATTCAGATGTGAGTGTTGCTGTGGAACAGAATTCAGTCTCCATCTTTGGCATTTAAGTCCTTTTTGATTGACCCCAATCTATCGCCCTAGTAACACTGCCCTGTGCATTTCCTTCCCTTTAATGCCCACAGCTAATATGCCAGCCATACTGTCCACTTAATGTTTCTGGAACATCCCCTGCATCTTTCTACCTCTGTGCCTTCACTGAAATTCTGCTTCAGGGCTCAGCTCAGGTGCTGTTTCAGATGTTCATTATACCATTCCTAATCTCTGCTGTCAGGAATGCTGATTGCTTCCTCCCACAGCCCTTTGTGACTTTCCCATGGTGCTATGATCATTTCTCGGTCTTTTGGATCACAGAAGTGTGGATAGCACAGTCTGCTGCATTCTAATTTGCATATATGTCTTGTATCTCCTACTAGGTTACAGACTTTACAGCTATGTGCTTTTTCATGTTGTTTACATATCCACCTCAGCATTTCAGATTATTCTTTGTACAAATGGAGTCACATTTGTACAAAACAAATGGAGTCATATTTGTACAAAACAAATGGAGTTGTTTTTTTAATTGTTTTTTAAATTGATCATTACAGGAGGAGTTAGACCAGAGTAGGGTGGCCAGATAAAATACAGGATGATCAGTTAAATTTGAATTTCAGATAAAGTTTATTTTTAGTGTAAGCATGTCCTAAATAATGCATGGGTCATACTTATACTAAAAAATTATTTGTTGTTTACCTTAATTCAGATTACCTAAGTGTCCTGTATTTCTGTTTGCTAAATCTGGTAGTCCACCAGAGGGTGGGTGAAACCCCACATCCACTTAACTTGTAAGAAAGTACCAATGGAAAGAGGAGGAAAACAATAATTGGGTCTACAAGAAATTTTTGACACTAATGTTTCTCTACTGTTATTAGAAAAAGAGAAGAGTAGTACTGTTGTCTCCTCACCCCTCATTTTATTTTATTTTTTAACAGATGACAATGGAGAGCTGAATAATAGTTATTTGCCAAGAATAGTTCTACTGATGCACCGATGGTATTTATCTTCCACTGAATTGGCAGAAAAACTTCTCTGCATATATCTTTTCAACTACCGTGTAACTTCTACAATCATAAATCAAGTTCTGTATTTAGATAGAGCGTCTAACAAAAGCCAGTAAATTAAGATGAATAAATAGTCTTTAGTCAGTTATCCAGCTGTTTTGTGGATATCTATAGATGTCTAGACAAGACATCTGGATGATGGACCAAACAGTTGACTATCCATCTGGATGTTTTGGCTCTACTTAAAAATAATCACTAGATATAAAATGAAACAGAAGCTATAGGCTGAATGCTTCTAACTTGACTTAAACATTTCTGCTGTTAGTACAATGAAAGAATAGTCAACACTGATTCCAGACCTAATTTATTCCTTTTAGGATAGCAAAATGATGGACGTAGAGGATACAGTTTAGACACATGGAAATGCCAGCCAAAATAATAGGATCTGGCTCAGGCACAGACACCACCTGAGTTTTCACATCTTTCCTTGCTTACAAGACACAAAGAACATTCTAGCAAGTTTATTGCGATTTGTTGGTTGATCTTAATTTCAGATTTCCTTCTGATATAAAAGCAAAAAAAAAAATAGTAGAAACTCCAATTTTATAATAAGGGCTTTTAGCAGTCTACCACTTTTGAACACACAGCAGTCCTGAAAGGTGGTTGAAAGCTGAATGGTCCAAAATGAAAAAACAGTCTCAGATTTATAAGGATGTTTTTTTCCCGGAGATCTAATGTTTATTATGTAATCACTAATATTGGTTCCTACAGTCTCGGCCTACTTCAAGCCCAGGGGACCTTGCAGATGACTGGGAAGACTTACAGGGTAGGAGGAGCCTGAAAGGCAGAGGGTCTGTCAAATGATTCTGAGGGTCACGTGGGCGTCCATCTGCTCATTGCAAGCTTCCTCCCCTTCCTACTTCTTCCCTCCGTCCTCCCTACAACCTCAGGGCAGAAGGGGATGCAGAAAGGGTAAGGGGACATTAACCCTGAACAGAGGTCCCTGAAAGTGAGCAAGATCCTAGTCCCCAGATCTCAATATTGAGGGGTAGTGTGTAGATGACAATTATTCAGTGCTGACATCGTCAGAGCCCATTGTCTTCCCATTTGAATGTCCACATAACCCAAATGTCCCCAGGATGGCCTTCTTATTAGGAATTCATCTAAATTGGTCAAACAGCTGCAGGTGTGGGCAAAGGAAACAAGGTGCAGGGATTTTTTCTTTAACTAGTGTACGTATCGAGATGCCAGTGGAGAAAGCTGTGATGAATTTCGGTTAAAGATCTGCTACTTCATGAGGTAAATATACATGTAATTGTCTTGTAGGGTATGGTTCTGGAATTGTTGACAATTTCTTTCTGCCCAGACAGTAGACCTAGTCTGGCAATAGAATTGACTCAGATTCCCCCCTTTATTGATTTTATTTAAATTGGCCTTCCTCTCTTCCTGGGAGTAGAATTTATCTTTCTTTTAGAGACCAAGCAGTAGCAAATGTGCTTAGGGAATGAAACTAGCTCTTGGAAAGAGTAAATTCATTTTATCTTTCTATTTCCCCACCATAAGCTTTCCCATCTAGTTGCCATAAGTTGGGGGAAGGGTTTGATTTCGGCTGTGGTTCAGCACTTAGATGCGAGCCCAGATGTTCAGGACTTAGGGTCAGAAAGAGAGGCTCAGAGTGGGAGTGGTAGACTTGGGTCCTTGATTGAAGGAGGGAAGAGTGAGACCCCACGTCATCGGTGGGGAATAGGAGATTGCTAATTTGGGGTATGGTCCTGGGTTCATTGTTAAACGTAATCTGTAAAATGATACAATAGTCTCCATAAAGGTCTAGCTTGAAATCTTCTCTTCATCAAAAATACTTGATGCCTTTCAGGTACTGGATTCTCAAGTTTCCTGCAGAGTTTAATTTGGACCTTGGTTTGATCCGTATGACTGAAGAGTTCCGGGAAGTAACTAGTCAACTAGGGTATGAAAAGCACATCAGCCTCATCGACATATCCAGCATGTAAGAGTGGCACACGTTTCTTTCGACATGATGAGCGCACTGTTTGGGGGAGAGAGTAGTGATGGCCCTGTTGGTGAACTCAGTTACTAGGAACTCAGTGCTAATGAGACTAGCGTTTTATATCTACTAGGTAACTTTGCACAGAGAAAACTATTTAATGACCCTAAGAATGGTTATACCATCTTGCAAAGATAAGCTCTTGTGTCCTGGGCATTCATACTCTAGTCCTTTTTCCTAGGATACTTCTTCAAGAATCTTGATCAACAGTGCATGATCCAGGAATCACCAGGGATGTTGTTAAAAATAGAGATTATTCAGGTTCATTCCTGGTAAATTAGAATCTCTGGCAGTGAGGTCAGATCTCTCTATATCACGAGTTTTTCAGATAATCCGTATGTTGCTGTGGTGTGAGAACCAACTTCGGGTGGCTTTCATGTGCCTTAAATCACCATCCTATATATTGATAATCTGCCAAATTTATAGACCTAACCCTGACCTCTCCCCTATGATCCCAACCTCACCGGTCATAAGAAAGAGAAAGTAAGAGATTCTTGATGGATCAGTGCAAACCCACCCTGTCTGGAAAAACAACTCACAATTTCTGTTCTATTGGCAGTGGGTCAGTGGTTTTCTCTTCAGATATGAAGGACAGGGCGTGTATTTTGCACAAGCTTCTGGAAGCAGGCCAAGAGTTACAGAGTCAGTAGGTTAATAACTTCCATTGAATGAAATGGCCTTTCAGCACATTGACCAGACTCACTGTTTCTTTTATAGTCCTTCCTATGACTGGATGAGAAGAGTCACACAGAGGAAAAAAGTATCCAAGAAGGGAAAAGCCTGTCTGCTGTTTGACCATCTGGAGCCCATTGAATTGGCTGAGCACCTCACTTTTCTGGAGCATAAATCTTTTAGAAGGATCTCAGTAAGAAACTGATGTATATTCTTCCAAGGATAACAACCACCAGGCCAACTTTCCCAAGAGCTGCGTTTTCATACCCTGAAGTGTTGGCAGCCTTTGTCATTGTGCTCTATTGGAAAAGTGCCCTGAATTCACAGGAACAATCCCTTTTAACCAAAGATAAATATTATCCTGTCTTTATTTTATGGCTTAGGAGCTATATATCTGTCGCTATTTTCAATGTCTCCTTTCATAGGATTAAAGCATGATTTTCTAAATACTCAGTGGAGATTTAACCATTCAAGGTTTATGGAGCTCCACTGACTTTTCCCAAGTGACCATGTTTTGCTAGGCCTTTCATTTGAGGGACAAAATCTTTATTTAGGTTGGGATTTGTATAAATGCTTAATTATGGGTGTAGGTTGAAAATAAGAATTGTAGGCTTTGATGAGAATCTCATATTAGGTTGTTTCTTTCCCAGGAACGGAGATCCTGAATTAAACTTTTCTTTCCTACTCTGTTGTGATAGCGTTTCTTCTCCACCCCCTTTCTCTTGCTCCTGACTATGGTCTCATGTCTCTTCCTAGCCACCTACTCACTATCCACTTGTTAGGATAATATTTCTGCAATGGCTCATAATCAGCCTTTGTCTTACCAAGCTCTGGGGCAGTCATTCTTCCTCCTTCTTTTCCAAGATGCCAGGGAATTAAGTATATTATTACTTGCAAAGAAGAACATGAAGTTAGAAGTATGGATTTCTGAAAGACAGATTCTTTTCAATAAATAATCCTATTGGAGAGGGCCTTCATGGTTCTCCACCAGCAGGCCATGAAAAGGAACCTCCTGCACTGTTTATATGATGGAAAGCTCATATGTATTTGATGAAATCCATGCTGACTTCCTGAGAAGGTGTCTGTTTTGCTAAGGAGCTACCTTACTTCAACTACTGTTTCTTTTTTTTTTTCTTGAAAAAACTTTACAAAATTATTCTGACTTGAAATCATTATATTCATATTCATTTCCTTTTCTTTAATGTATGCCATTGTATCTCAAACTTGCCTGACCATTGGAATCACCAGTAGTGACTGAAAAATGGAGATTCTTAGATTCTTCCTCTGGAGAGATTGATCCCGTTAGGTCTCAAGTGTTCCCAGAAACCAATAGGTTAAAACACAAATGCCCCAGGTGGATCTTACGATCCAGCAAATTTGGGACTCACTGGAATGTGACTTCGAATCTTGTCCCTCCCCACTCCACCCCTGACACTGTGATGTGTAAGTGTGTGTCTGTGTATGGGGGAGTGAAACACAGCAAAACAATATATTAAGGGTACCTGTATATTCAAATGTGTAAGATGCCATTATAAATGTGAAATGAAAGAAATCATTATGTTGTTATGAAACAGTATTTCACATCTTCCATGCAACATTCTAATTTCTGATTTTGCAAAGACTCCATTTTAATTCAGAGTCTCTGAATCTTCCTTTACTAGTTCACTGATTACCAAAGCTATGTCATCCATGGCTGCCTGGAGAATAACCCAACCTTGGAGAGATCTATTGCTTTATTTAATGGAATCTCTAAGTGGGTCCAGTTGATGGTTCTTAGCAAACCAACCCCCCAGCAAAGGGCAGAAGTCATTACAAAGTTTATCAATGTTGCCAAGGTATGTATGTCTGGGAGTTAGATGGGGGTTCTTCTTTTTTTTTTTTTAGGATTTTATTTATTTATTTGTCAGAGAGAGGTAGGAGGGAAACACAAGTAGGGGGCAGCTGCAGAAAGAGGGAGAAGCAGGCTCCCCGCTGAGCAAGGAGCCCAATTCAGAACTTGATCCCAGGACCGCAGGATCATGACCTGAGGCGAAGGCAGATGCTTAACCGACTGAGCCACCAAGGCGTCCCTTAGACAGGGTTCTTAAAGGAATCTAGATGGTCCTTCACTCTAGGGAAAAGTTGTTGAAGAAATTTGGGGTTCACAATATAAAGGACAATTAAAGTATTCATAATATCTAGTGAACAACTCATACTGCTATCATGCAAGAAGATTGCTTTTAATCGGCAATACTTAGAAGCATTTATGATAACTGTTTTTTTTGTAAAATGATTAGTATGTTTTTCTGGTGGATTGCATTTGTGCTTCATTTTAAATTGATAATGTTTTTCTTAGATCCTTGTTATTGAAATTGTGCATGCATTCACCTGTAATCCAGAAAGACCAGAATAATTGAAAAATTGTTGCCAAGTATTGATGTTAACATTTTTGTATTGCAGAAGCTCCTCCAGCTCAAAAATTTTAACACTCTAATGGCAGTGGTGGGAGGCCTTAGTCATAGCTCCATTTCACGCCTCAAGGAGACCCATTCTCATCTTTCTTCAGAAGTTACAAAGGTACAGTGGATTAGATCCTAGTCCCAAGTGAAAAAGTCATCTGTAAATTGTTTAGGGATAGGATGCTTCTAACAAATGTCACTCACAGGGGGAAAGTGTTCTTCTTAGGCAATTATTGGTTACACATGGAGAATTCAGTAGGAAGGGAGTAGGCACGCTGCCTGGAAAACCAGACTGGAAGTGGTGGCAAGTGTCCCAATAGGAAGGACTTGAATACAATTAACGTATTGCAGGTGTGAGTACTCAACAAGTCTGCATTTGGTGCTATGTGATACGCTCTGTGACACACCCAGGGGGTGCAAGACAAATAAGACAAATCATTCCTACCCTGCCCTCCTCAAAGGAAGTCATTGAACACCTGCTCTCTTCAAAGCACTGTGTTTGGCACAGTTAAAGAGACAAAGGAAGAGGGAGATGTAGACCTTGTCCAGAAATCCCTCAGATTTATAGGTGAGTTTTCAGGAACAAAAATCTATTTTTTTAAAAAACAATGATCATTTCCCAAACTGAGCTTTTTCTGCCATATCTGTTTCCAGACCATAATAATAAGAGTTTTCCTTATTGAGTGAAAAAGAACATTTCATCCTTATGAAAAGAGTTCCTTATAAGCATGGAGTTTGCTGTATCAGTAAGGATACTTTTCAGCTATCAGTTGAAAAAAATCTGGAAATTGCTGAAACAGCAAGGGAATGGGCCATCTCACATACCTGTAAGTCCAGAGGCAGGGCCAGATCCAAGCATGGTCTTATCAGAGCTCTTGGCTCAGTGGCTCTGTCTTCCTTGGAGGATCAGGTTTTTGTTTGTTTCATTAGACTGGCTTCCTTCCTGATTGGACCATCTGCAGCAGCAGGAAAATGATGCTCTCTTGTTTTGTTTTTGTTTTTTTTCTTTAAGATTTTATTTATTTATTTGTCAGAGAGAGAGAGAGAGAGAGAAAGAACACAAGCAGGGGGAGCAGCAGGCAGAGGGAGAAGCAGGCTCCCTGCTGAGCAAGGACCCTGATGCGGGGCTCCATCCCAGGACCCCGGGATCATGACCTGAGCTGAAGGCAGACACTTAAGGGACTGAGCTACCCAGGCGCCCCATAAATGATGCTCTCTTGCTCATGAAAATTGGAGATAGGGGAAAAAATCTCTTCAGCCCTGCCCTCATGGAACGAAAGACCTTCTTTTTAGGCAGATTCGCCCACCTCAAGTCACATGCTCACCACTGGGCCAATAACAGTTGCTAGAGGAATATAATGTACTGATTGGCTTAGGTCTGTGTTCCTGAACCAATCACAAACTAAAGGGATAGAATTATGATGATGGTAAATCAGAACCCATCCTTGGACCTGGGAATGGAGGCAGCTCCATCTGAGTCACATGGGATGCTTGGAGAAAGTATAGCGCCCTCGAAATTGAGGTCTGGTTGCTGTTAGGCAACTAAAAATAAACAGAAGGATATAAGCCAAGATGCACAGCTGCCCGACCTAAAACACTCATTCTAAGTGTAACGGGGCTCGTTATCTAAGTGTCTTATTTTCCTTTAGTTTTGTACTGAATTTCAAGTAAAGAGCAAAACACATTTTACATGTTGTAAAGAGTAAGAATTCAGTAGGGGCTCTTAGAGGCTTGGAACCACCAGTGTATCTTTGAAAATTATTTGAACTCTTTCTTACAGAAAAGGAAACTGAGGCCCTTCAAAATGAAGTTGCTTGCTCAAGGTTGTGCTTCTAGTTAGTAGCAGAGTCCCAGACCATAGCTATCTCACACCTCAGTGTGGCTTTTCCTACCCCATCCCATCCCAGATTAACCTTCAAGTAATACCATGAAGGCAACTTTCTTAGAACAACTAGGACACTATGTTAAAAAAAAAAAAAGAAGAAGAAGATAATAGGAAGGGAAAAATGAAGGGGGGGAAATCGGAGGGGTTGACGAACCATGAGAGACGATGGACTCTGAAAAACAAACTGAGAGTTCTAGAGGGGAAGGGGTGGGGTGATGGGTTAGCCTGGTGATGGGTATTAAAGAGGGCACGTATTGCATGGAGCACTGGGTGTTATACGCAAACAACAAATCATGGAACACTACATCAAAAACTAATGATGTAATGTATGGTGATTAACATAACATAATAAAATTTAAAAAAATAAAATAAAGGCAAAATAAAAAAACAAAAAAATTTAAAAAAAGAACAACTAGGACACTGTAATATACTACATACTATATTTTAATAGGATACATGCTTATATTTGTGGACTGTAATATTTCCATGAATTGCAAAATACTTACGGCTATTTGAAGCTATTTTACATCCCGAGAGCGCTAGCAGGCAGGAAGAGGTGCAGGCGGTTTCTGCTCAGCAGGAGACTAGAACAGGCTGCCCCACTCGTAGCCAGGCCCAGTACATTTTTCTAATTTTCTTTTTCCAGGTTAATATTTCCCTGCATCAGTGTTGGTGCAATCGATACTTCTCTCAGTGGCTGAGGAATGTCCTAGCCGCCCAGGGCAGGGCCTGGGGGTGGGCGGAAAGGAAGACTGAAACCTCTGCTTTTCCATCTGTTCTCAGAACTGGCATGAAATGACAGAGTTGGTCTCCTCCAGCGGTAATTACTGCTGCTACCGCAGGGCCTTTGCTGACTGTGAGGGCTTCAAGATCCCCATCCTCGGCGTGCACTTGAAAGACTTGATAGCGGTCCATGTCATTTTCCCAGACTGGACGGAGGACAACAAAGTGAACATTGTAAAAATGCACCAGCTCTCCGTGACCCTCAGTGAACTGGTGTCCCTGCAGAATGCCTCCCACCACTTAGAACCCAACATGGATCTGATCAACCTACTCACGGTGAGTTCAAGGGACCGGGGTTTGTGCTAAGGGCCCTTGCGTGCCTCCCTGCACGGGGGGTGCAGGAACATCCGGGACAGTCATTCACCAGGTTGTGTGCAGGGCCAGCAGACCGGGAGAGATCTGCAGGGGTGGGTGAGGGGAGAGGAGCCCAGCCCTATAAGCAGCATGAATTGAGACTATAATCTTGGGACCAAGAAATTTTCCGTTGTCTGGAGGAGCCTAATCAGCACCCCTATAGCTCTACATCCAGAGCTCTTAGAGAGGCCCTCCAGCTCTCAGCCCCTCCCTCTCCCTCATCACACCTGTCTAGTTCATCACCTCCCTCTACATGGCCTCCTCTCGTCTGCTTCCCTTTGCCCTCCCTGCGCAACTGTAGCTGGAATCTGGGGTAATGTCAGGACCTCCTCTGTCATCTCCCTGCCCCCATGGCCAATCTCCCCAAAGCCGCCTGGCATTCGAGGCCCTTCCAGACTCATTGTCTATCTAGACTGTTTTGTCATCACCTGATCCCACATCACACTTGCCTTTGAGGAACGTTGGACTTTCCACTGTGAACCGTGGCCTTCTGCTTCCTGGCCTTTGCCCTTTCTTGGAAAATCCCTTCCCCTACCCACCCCTGTGACTAGCTCACATTCAAAAGCCTCTGTCTTTCTGGAGCATTCTCTGTTCCTCTCCAGAGCAGTAACACATCTGTCACATGTGTGGCTTTTGCCGTTTATACTTTCTTAACCATAGGAGGTATCACTTTGTAATAGATTTTTTTTTCCTGTTTACCTGACTTACACATCCCATAGCCCCAGCACCTCTCATGGTACCTGGCATATTTAGGAGCTCAACAGATGAATTGAACACTGTATTTCGGAACGAAGTGGGTCAGACAGAAGACATTCATCTAGCATTCATATTTTTTTGTCATTTGTGGCTGGTCTCCAGGTGCTAGGGCTTTTAGACCCAACAGGTGTAGAGAAGAAAACCTTCCCCATTGGCGGCTGCTTTGTTTGGGGGGAGGAGGCATAACCAAATTCTTTCACCCTTGTTTAACAAATGGAGAAGCAACTTCCCAGTTTGGATTTATAACACTGAAGCATCTGACACTTGGCTGCAATATTCAGTTGACTATTTTCCTTTAATGGCCATGGAAAATGAAAACAATAACACTTCTGAAGCTCTGAGAGCGTGAATCCCCTAGGACTGCTACCCTGGAGTAAGAGTGTTGGTTCCTAGACCTTTTCACAAACTATTCCTAGAGCACATAATTGTTTACCAAAAAACAGAACCCCTGAAATGTATGTAGTAATGGAAGCCGCACCTTGATATAAAGTGGAAGTGGCCAACACCCAGAAACATGAATCTCTTGGGGCTGAGTTTGTATGATAAACAGTAAACACACAGACATTCTCTATTAGGGGGAAAAAAAACCCTCACAATAAACCAGGCACCTGCATTTATTAATCATTTGCCATGTAAATCTGTTTCCATGAATAAGTGACCAGAGTTGCAGCCCCCATCAGACTGCAAACCCACAGGCCCAGGTGATGTCTGCAGAGCGGCCTGAGTTCCCCACGTCTGTGTGCAGGCTGTCCTTACCATGTGGAGGAGAGCGTCGCAGAGCAGGTGCCCATGCTCAGGCATTTTCTCATCCACACAAAAGATAGGGTTGGAGGAGGGGAATGGATTTTGAGTCATGAATGCAGCAAGCACCATAATGACAGATATTTAGAAGGTATCAAAAGATTTTGAATGAAATTTTTTGGGTGCCAATGGAAAATTTGAACTCTAGAAATAAAGATTAAGCTTTTTTTTTTTTTTTGCCTGGAAGGAAAGAAAAAAGGAAGAGGATGCCAGTCTCTCTCTCTTTCTCTCTCTCATATTAAAGGAGAATATAGAAGCCACCAAACACCATATTTAGGAAGAGCAATGTTATCTAGTGTACTGCAGTGACCAGAATCCTAGGTGGGAGATCTAGCTCTTAGCTCTATGTGTGCAGTTACTTAGTTTTGTCTCCTTGCTAACTGGACTTGACTCTGGACTTTTCATAAAGGGTTTTGTGCTCATTTGTGAGATCTCTTCCAGCTCTAAACTTCTGTGATTCTAAATACAAGGACTGGTGGAACCTTGAGAATAAGGAAGTTCGTGTCAGTCTGATTCTGTGGTTCCAGCCCAGTGGCTCCTCAGGATAGCACAGCCCCACACATGAGCATCGATCAGCAAGCCAGTTTCTATTTACAGCCAACATCCCCCCTTCCTCCCCACAACCAAGCAGAAGGTTCAGGGCACGGGAATATACGTTCATTCTTCCTGGCCACAGGCAGATGAATCTCTTCAGTGCAGATAGAGGAGACTCCCATCAGGTGTTCACTGGAGCCCAGTGGGCATTTCATGAAGCACATATGTGTTGGGATTAGAACCATTTGATTGACAGAAGCTGCCCAAATGCATGTGAAGGCATACATAAGTGCAGGTTCATTCGAAGGGACCATTCTTTTGCCGCAAGACTCTAGGTCAGGTTTTTGCCCAAAGTGATTGCTTCTAAACATGGCCCCAGGCGAGGAAGCCAATTCACAATCGAGAGCCCTGGAAGATAGAAAATAAGAACTCTTAAATGAATCCACAACTACTGAATGTCTGCTCCGTGCTGTGAGCTGCATAGCAATGTTTGAACTTTCTGTAATAATTGGTTGCCTTTTCACAACACTTCCCTGTACTTTTCCTTGGTTCTCACAGATACTCTCAGAGCTAGCCTCTGCAGGCCAGAGCCTGTAAATTCACCCCTGCCCCTTTGTGTTTTACAAAGGAAGAAACAGATTTCTAAAGGACAAAAGGCTTGCAAATGGGGAACTTCTGAATCCCACTGTGGAGGGGTGGGGGCACTCCCTCCCCCCCCAGTGATGGACATTTACTCCATAATATAGGAACATTGCTAATATTTATTTTATTTTGCATCTATAATAATTAAATAATCTCTCTATCCCTCTTCATGGGTATCTAAAGAAGGAGTTAATTATAGAACCAAATCTATGGGTCAGGGACTCTGATGCCATTTTTATCATTGTAAACTTACCCCTTGAATAGCACTGGGCACATGAAAGAAGGAGGACCCCGGCACTAAACTGTTGGGATTTGGATTGTTCCCCTTTTCAGGGAAGATCTAGAGAAGGCATTTTCCCTTGTGCTCCTACCCAATCCTGGAACCAGAAGTTTTAAAAGCTGATGCTTCTTGCTTCATGGTATATGAAATCATCTGATTCTTTTCATAGTATTTTTAGATCTATCAGTTACTTTTACCATTCTGAGTATATGCAAATAACTGGAAAGCCCCCTGTATTTTTACAGTTTCAAAAAGAAAAAAAGAAGAAGAAGAATTGCAAAAATGGTGAATGGCGATAGTTTGATGACCAAGTGTGTTTTATTTTACAATTCTCCAGTCAAGGCAATGTGGTCTGAATGTACAGGGTAAATCCACAACCATCTTTGCTGATAGGCTTGGATGTAAATGCAGCAAACTGTAACAGTGACTCAGGACATTTTTCAAAAACAGTCAGACTCAAAATATGTGAGACACAAGCAAGCATTCCTGAAATTCCATTGACAAGCTGCCTATAATTATAAAATAGAGGTGTATAGGAAGTACAACAGGTTACTCTACGCAGGGCCATAAAACACAGAGGCGATGAGAGAATGCACCTAGGTAGGATTGTGGCTGGGAAAGCAAAGAGCTGGCAGGAGTAACCCAGGGGCAGCTTTGCATTCGTTGATGCATGCGGTGGTATTTGACTGGGAGCCAAACCCTGCAGTGCCCACCTCTATGGCCCGCTAAACAAACCCTGCTGGTTACACGTTAACTCATTTAATCTTCACGGCAGTCCAAGGAGGGACCTATTATTTATGCCTCCCATTTTATAGGCTGGGAGACTGAGACCCAAGAAGGTTAATGACTTGCCCAGGTTCACAACAGTGCTAACAGACAGCAAACATTTGGAGAAGATATTTCCATCATAGCACCCGATACCTGTCCATGTGATGTATGAAAATACTCAAGGATGTTCTGTGTCTTTTGAAAGAGCATCTCCCCTACATAGTATGTGGTTATTGGGATTTCTGGTCAGATGTTCTAGCACGCTTGTCATCCCTTCTCCAGCAGATGCCAGTGCCAATCACTAGAGGCCTAATCAGGAGGACAGGAACATGCTCATCAAAGTCCAGAATAACTCCTGATAACAAGGAATTGTTACTTGATTTTCTTTCTGTTTATGTAGTGTTCACAATGCAAGGCAGCAAGCTGTGGCTGGGATTACAGAGGCAGAAAAGACGGATGTGCTGCCTGCTTTCTTGAGGCTTAGAAGCCAGTAGAGTTTTCCATCGTGGAATTTACAAAATGGCGGGCAACTGCCCATGGCAGATGGGTTTTATTTGGCCCACATGGAATCATAAAATTTTTTAATTAGTTGCCAGTATTTAATAATGGAGATATTTCATATAAAACTCTAGATTTCTGGCTTCTTTTGACAAAAGAGAAGATATGGCACTTGTCAGGCTGACGACAACTTGCCTTGGCTGAGCAGTGGTTGTCTCCCATTCACCAGGAACCACAACTCTCCCTATTGCTTCCCTAACCCAGAGATCCATGTCAGATTCTACTTATCACAAATTTTTTTGTTGTTGAGCTCAGAGAGCAGGGCCCCAAGGTAATTACATCTGCAAAGACGTTTTTTGCAAAAAAGACATCGTTATACCAATGTTTCTATCAAAAGAGTTCTTTCATGCATCCCATTGCGTTCTTTTATATAATGGGCTGGCCCTTAGAGGCATTGGTTTGTGATATGGGGATGGTTCCTCTCCTGCAAAAAGGCGGAGCCCCTGGAGGTAGGAGTGACTGTTCTTTAGGGGAAGGTGGATACAGTGTCCATTCTTTGTGAGCAGGATTTTCAAGATCTGAAATGATGCTGGGGCAATTTTATAATAAAGTCAATTTTATTATGTTTAGAAAAAAATCTCTAGGTGACAAAGCCTAGGTAAAGCAATATATGACCCAATGTATGAAATCCTTAATTTAAATGTATTTAGTAGCTAGAATAGTGACTAGAATGGTCCTCAGCACATATTAGATGATCAATAAATCTTTGCTGAATGGATGAATGATTAATTCAAAAATGACATCTATTAATACCAAATTTTTAAAAATGAGAACAAAAAGATAAATCCTTGAAAGATGTCCTTTGCCTCTGAGTTTTCTCCCACTTCCTCCTCCTCGCTCTTCTCCCTCACTCCACACCCATACACATTAAGTCTTTATTTTTAGACCAAATATGTTAAATGTTTCATGCCTAAGTGGTCAAAGAAAGAACAGGGCACCTGGTTACATTCACTTCTGATGAAATGATGTGATTCATCAGGTATCTTAACATTGAAGAGTGGGGGTGGGACTCATCCAGGCTTATTTGTAGTCTCATGACTTCTGTTTTAAGTGAATGGGACCATGCATTTTAGGTTTTACTGATTTTATCCATACTCTTCAATCTTGGTCTATGTTGGTATCCTTCCTGCCCTGATCTTTCCCTCTTTCTTTGCCCAAGTCCTCCGAGTTAGGTCCTAGTTCACAAGTTCCTCTGTGATTCCGTCTTGATCATTTCTGTCTTCGGTGACCCCCACACATAATAATAATATCAGTAGTAACAGCTGCAACACCAAATAACCTTTCTTGACATTTCACTGTGTACCAGGGCCCCTGTGTAGCACCTCACATGAAGTATTCCATTTGATCCTGATCAAAATGCAATTCAGTAGGGACTTTTATGATAATTTCCACTTTACAGATGTGGAAACTGAGTATCAGAGAAGATATAACTGCCTCAAGGTGACAAGGCTAAGCAGTGGCAGGCTCAGCACTTGAACTCAGGCCCTTCGGACTCCAGAACCTCTCCCTCTGCTGTATACACCACCCCTGAACAATCCCTACCTCATTGAGAGTGTTGCCTTTTATTGATGTAAATACATCTGATGTAACTCATAGGATGCTGATGGCCATACTAGGTTTCCCTGTTTCTTTTTAAAAGTTCATGTTCTACCTCTACATATTATCTTTCTAATGCTCTTCATGCTCTCAAATTATTAGACATTGAGCTAACACATTGAGTTTGAAAAATATTTCAGCCATGTAAATAAATAAGTAAATGTGATCCAACATCATCGTTTATCCCTTCTAATTTGTTGTAGCTTTCTCTGGACCTCTACCACACAGAAGACGATATTTACAAACTGTCACTGGTGCTGGAGCCTAGAAATTCTAAATCGGTAGGTGGTGTTTTCTCTAAGGATCAGTGGCAAACACCATTGTTCGTCATTTATCGTAAGTGCCTGTTACAGTGAGGCTTTGTGATCTGAAGATTGAAGAATTTTAAAAATCTGTATTATTCCATTTTGCCCATGGAACGGCTGAGCCCTGACAGTTTAAGGATTATTTCTTCATATCAGAGGCTAATAAAGAAGAACGTTATTCCCAATTACTCTGTTTTATTGTTTATCTTCTATGTGTTGTGTCCCATCTGAGAACTTGTGTACCTATGGGGCATCCTCCCAACAAAAGAAGAACTCATCTTAATGTTAAAGAGCGTTTAGAGTCTTCAATATAAAATCTCATTTAGCATAAAATTAAGCTTAATAAATTTTGAAGACCCTGATCATAATTCACAAATTTCCCTGCTAATGACCGACTCAGGTCAGAATTTCAGTATCACATTGGATCATGTCTCAATTAATGGCTGACTCTTAGGAAAGAAACATTCTACACTGAGATTGAGGAAATTGCATTACTGAAAGTACACTGGTCATTAGTTTTAGTGAGTGGACTGTATCTTAGATATGTTTTGTGCTAGTAAGAAAATACCTGGGCAAATTGAAATTTACAGTGAGGATGTGGTTTGCATGTTGAAGGAAAAACTGTCTATGTTGGCTTCTTAGAGTCATATCCTGAGATCAGGGTTCTGATAAAGACCTCATGCCTTACCTCCTTACCGGTTGAATTCTGTGGCATGTTGCCAGAGACATGGACCTTAAGTGTGACCCTCTATTCTGATTCTGAAGCATCAGCCCGAAAGAGGCAGAATGACTGTGACGTGCTGGGAGAGTACGCACTTAAGTCTGAGTCCGTTGACCTGGTAGCATCTGTTCTTACGATCTTGAGTATGGTGTTTCCATCAGCATGTTCACCTCCCCACCAGTCCCCAGAGGCCCATCTCCTGGGGACACTGAAGAACAGACCCATGTGGGGAGATACAGGCCAAAGGGAGGAATGAGGGCTAGACTCTGCAAAGTTACCATGCCTAAGAGCTGGAGAGAAAAGCGAAGTTATTAGAAAAAAAGGAATTCATGAGCTCTTCTCTCACTCCTTAGCTTTGGTGTGAAGAAGCTGATTGCAGGGTGGCAAGCTGTTCCATGTGCACATGGCATTTCCACCACCCTGCACCTCCTTCTTCCTGTAACCGGGCACCTTAATTGCTACCTGTTGGTTGTTGGGCACCTGGTGGGGCATCATTATCTCATTAACTCTTAAGGAAATGGAGTCTGGTGAGGACAGGCGTCTCACACGGAGCACACAGCCAGTATGTGGGAGAACTGAGAGGTGGGTCAGACCTGTCTGTCTTCAATGCCTGTGCTTTTTCTACCTCGGGACGCTGCCCTTCATTTTCCCGCCACCCCTTGTATCAGGAACATGGTACGAATGACCATGTTAGCACACTTGCCTGAGTGGTGCTCTTTAGATTTGTTTAAGTTTATTTTCAGGATAAATTTTTGCCAATTGTTGGAGACATTTCCATCCAACGTAGTCTTTTTTATCTTTTATAAAAGCAGAAGCTTTCAAAGCGCCTTCCAACGGCTAAAATCCTCTGAATCTATGAAAATGCAGTTCCCCAATCCCTTTCCATCTGTCATCCTGTTTTGTGCTCTGGTTTGACATATGCTGACGCTAGAGAACAAGTATTATCAGGATGATAGTACTGAGAGCGTGTAACTCAGTGTGCTTACGGTTGGTGCTGGTGGACCTCACATAATCCCACTGTGAACCTTTGCTCTGCACAGCGTACACTTTGTGTCTCAATAATTCTTTGTGTTTTACTTTGTGTCTCAGTTTTTTCAGACTACCTCTAGGTCAAAAGAAATACCTCACAATTCCATTTTTAGGATAGTTAGGTCCAAACAATATATATTAATGTTCTAACGATGTAGAACCCACTTGAAAAAATAATACATGTCGAAATAAAAATAATATTTTAATTTCATTCTTAAATAACCACAGTTACTTACTAATGGATGTGTGTGCCTATTGGGCATGGAACAATTTATGTCTTGGAATCAGATTGAATACTGCCACCTTTTTTCTTGTTCCACATTGATTTTTTGCTTTGGAAAGAGATGATAGCATTGAAAGAAATGTAGCAGGACCTAATGGGGGAACTGTGAACTATTTCAAGCTGGTAGTTCACGTGGTGTCTGACAAATATGGAGTACTGCTGTATTTCCCTTGGAAGTTTGAAATATCTTTTGGTACCCCTATGAGTCCACTGCTGTATTACGGATGGGGCATCTTGTTACATAGTTTGGGAACCATGGGTTTATCCTTCATCAGATGAACAAAATGAAAAGCTTGATAGAAAGAGCCATGATGTGTATGATGTGTGTGTGAGTGAGTCTAAGTTTTGGTGATCATATCCAGACAGCAGGTAGTTTTTGGTCCTGCTGTCTCACCCACCTCACAACATTGTGAGGGGCTTAAATCCAGTACAGTTACTCCTCAATTCCTCTTGCAAACATGTTTATCCCCAATTCAGTATCAAATAAAACCTGCCAATACAAGTTTGCATGCATGCACCAGCAAAGATATTTATATTATTTGAGGGTCCCAGGGAGAGGAATAAAGTGCACAGCACTCTTGGCTGGTCTCCTGATAGGATTGTGTTTTTCCCTTGTGTTGTGTGAATATGTTGTGTGTTATCATCACTGTCTTCTCCACATTATTTAGTGAAAATGTCTTGCAAGAACATGGAAAAACATATAGAGAAAGCAAATTCACTGAAGAGGCTAGAAAGACCTAATTAGCCAAACAGAAGGGATTAAGGATTTTTTTTTAATTTAATTTATTTATTTGACAGAGAGAGAGAGACAGTAAGAGAGGGAACACAAGCAGGGGGAGTGGGAGAGGGAGAAGCAGGCTTCCCACAGGGCTCGATCCCAGGGCCCCGGGATCATGACCTGAGCCAAAGGCAGACGCTTAACGACCGAGCCACCCAGGCGCCTGGGATTAAGGATAATGAGAGAGATGGCAGCTTGAGGACATAAACTTGACAATTCTCGTGGGCCCATTTACTGCACACATCTAATTTTTCACCAACACCAAGTATTAAAGACTTAGACAACTGGTGTTTTATATATATTATACAAAAATCTGTATGGAGTATTATGTAGGTTTAAGGATGTTTTAGTCATATTTGGGGAACTTGGATGGAATTTTTGGGTGGGCTGGGAGAGCAATATCTTTTTTTCCATTTAAAATAATGGAATTGAGGCTACTGCTAAACAAAATGCACTATCCACAGGTGTATTTAGTCACAGATTAGATTCCACTGGCAAAGATGTTTGTTTTCAGAACATTTAAGTGCTACGTATATGTAAGTTTTTACTAGTACTATTAATATATAGAATGTATATGTCTTTCTTAGTGTCCCCTAATTGCTCAAGGCCTCAGATAAAGTTGAAAAATGTCTTTTCTCGGGCGCCTGGGTGGCTCGGTCGTTAAGCGTCTGCCTTCGGCTCAGGTCATGATCCCAGGGTCCTGGGATCGAGTCCCACATCGGGCTCCCTGCTAGGCAGGAAGACTGCTTCTCCCTCCCCCACTCCCCCTGCTTATGTGCCCTCTCTCGCTGTGTCTCTCTCTGTCAAATAAATAAATAAAATCTTAAAAAAAAAAAAGAAAAGAAAAATGTCTTTTCTCTGTCAGCAGCCTACCTCCCCTACAACGCCCACCAAGCCTGTGGTGCCCCTGGAGTGGGCTTCAGGAGTGATGCCGAAGCCAGATCCCACAGTCATCAACAAGCACATAAGGAAATTAGTTGAGGTAAGTGGTTGAGAGAGTGGAGATTGAGCACTAGAAGGCCCTTTTCTCTTTCCAGAATATTCTGTCATTGCCCAAGAATCAGCTGAAGTCAATGAAAACAGCCCTCTAGCAGGTAGGAGCAATTTAGCAGACACTTAGCTCTACTTGGCATTGGCCTCTAGGGGAGAGTATCCCAGAAAGGCCCTCTTTTCCCTTCTTGTCATTCTGTTCTCATTTGCCCAAATACCCTCAGCTACTTCCAACTCTTTCGGTAGCATTTGACGCCTCTACTATTGCCCCTGCAACTTGAGGGACTATTTGGGGATTAGAATCTACTCCTGAGAAACCTACATGGGTCACAATAAAATGCCCAATAAATTGATTGCATGAGGGTAGGAAAAGATCCTGTAGGTGCACAGTTTCTCTTGCTGTATATATTGGGGTCTGTGACACAGCAGCACAACGCCATTTGGGTCAGAAACATCACTTAATGATGGGAAAGTCTCTATCAGAAGTTTCCACATAGAAAGAAGAATAGAGGGGAGCCTGGGTGGCTCAGTCGGTTAAGTGTCTGCCTTTGGCTCAGGTCATGATTCTGGGGTCCTGGGATGGAGCCCCTCCACCCCACCCCCCAAGTTGGACTCCCTGCTCAGCAGGGAGTCTGCTTCTCCCTTTCCCTCTGCCCCTCCCCCCACCCCGATCATGTGCTCTCTCTCTCTAAATAAATAAATAAAATCTTTAAAAATAATAAAAAGAAAGAAGAGTAGAAGTGCCAATGTGCAGAAAATGGAAACATACCTGGCAGTAAAAACTATGACCCCTGATTAAACATCTGCTTTAATGGGTGGGTATGATGCAATAGGATCGTGTCTTTGGGATAAAATGAACATTTTGCTGGGGATGGATGGTTAAAGAAAAAGAAAGAATGTTCTACATCTTGGATCATCCAGGGAACTATAGTGCACTGGAAGAAAAGTTCTGTGGAGCATGTGAGGCAGCAAGGAAAGGTCAGAAAGGATGAAGGAAGGCATTGAGAAGCATAAGGTCCAGTGGAGACCATGTGCTGATGTTGTGGTCACAAACCCAACTTGGAGCCAAGGAAGGGGGATGGGATCCAGGCAGGAAAGAGTTGCAGCTCAGGAAGGTCTGGAGCCAGGAAACGAAAGACAGAATGATTCTCTCCCACTCTTTTCTCTGAATGCTCATTCCATTACCTGCTGAAAGACTTTCTTTGCTCCATTTGGGGAGTCTGTTTTGCCCTCTCCCCTGTCCTCTCTCTCTCCCTCTCTCCTCCCGTATGCCATCTCTCTTATTTTCTCTCCAATTCCAATTTCATGGGGGAAGGTTGGCCCAGTTTGGATAAATTGCCTACTTTTGGCTCAATCAAATGAAAGACTGGGTTTTATTATGAAATTTGCATACTAAATTTTATTCTACAAAAAGATTGTACTTTCAACATAAATATGGATTTTAGGCTATAAATAGTAGGCACTCTATAATGGTCAATTTTAAGCAATTTTGATTGTAGATAAATATTGATATTGGGACTTGCAAAAAAAGGTAGTGCTTTATGATTTTGCACAATTCAGTTATCTATAGATAAACTTACAATGGGTGCTAAACAGTTATATTTTTAATTAAGCAATTTGTTCATTTATATCTTGGTCATCTCCCAAAACACTTCTGAAGCAGTTTGCTACATAGGGCAATACGAATAAAGTAGAATAGACAGAAACCATAGGAAAAAGGGAGAAAGACTCGTTATAATCTTGCATACATGTGTTTCCGGGAAGAACTTAACAAACCTTTTTGAAAATCCGATTTAGCAGAGGGCAATGGAAGACTCCTTTTATTTTTCTCTGATTATAAAGAGAGTCAGAATCATTGTAAATATGCAAACTTTTCATAAAATAGAATCCAAGTTTTACTTTTAGGTCGTGGGAATTCTGCTCTCTAGGGATAAACACTGATAATTTGTAAATTATCTTGTATGACTTTATTCCCCCCCCCCGATAAACACACTCACACCCACGTATGCCTCTGAGTAACATTGTTCAACTATTTTCCTAGAATAGATTCCCCTAAGTGGAACTACTGGGTCAGAGAGTAAGCAGACTGTTCTCCAGAAAGACTGTGGCTATTGACTTCATCAAGTAATATGAGAATGCCTGTTTTCTCATACCCTAGGAAATTACCAATTATCTTAATGTTTTCCTATCTGAGAGGTTAAAAAAAGTTTTCTTTGCATTTCTATAATTATTAGCAGAATTGAGCATTTTCCATGAATATACTGGCCATTTGTATTTTTACTTTGGTGATCTCCCGTTTTCCTTTTATGTCTTTGCTCTCATGTATATTGCAAACAATCTTCAATGTCATTTATCTTTGAATTTGTTAGCTGGGCTTTTTCGATTCAGATATTTTGCATTTTATGTAATAAAATGTTTTCACTTATAGCTGCTGACTTTGATGTCATGGTAAGAAAGGCCTTTCCTACTCAAAGATCACAAAATATAAAATATATTTTTATCTATTTACCTTTCATACTTTTGTAGCTTTATTTTTTACATTAAAATATTTAATGCATTTAGAATTTAGTTTAGGGGCAACTGATTTTGTAAGATTATTAGCCATTACCTCAACAGTAATTACTGGATAATTTTTAATTTCCCTATGGATTTGAAAACATACTTTTTGAGATTCTAAATTCCTGAATATACATAGATCTATTTCCAGACTCTGCTATCTGTAGTAAGTTATGGTACCATGTTGTTTTGATTAATGTAGCTTTGTAGATTATTTGATTTCTGATAGGACACATTCTCCCTCATTACTTCTCATCTTAACAATTTTAGGCTATTCTTAACATGTTCACTTCTATTTGAACTTTAGAATCAATTTGTTCATTTAAAACAAATTCTCACTGGAATTCTGACTGGAATTACATTAAAAGTATACTTGAAGTTTTTGGATAATTTAACATTTTAAAGCTTCATTTTCTATCAGCATGGTATTGGCATTTGTGAATTCACCAAGCTTAACTCTTACTAAAACTGAAGTTTCAGTTTAGACCTCACTTTCTCCAGGAAACCTTTTAAAATCTCCCTCCTGTCTCCCCTCCCCTCATGGCACCCTGTTTTTATCCTCAGCATTGCACTTATCTTCTTATACCATAAAGGCTTCTTGATTTCATTATCTCCCACTGGATTCTAAGCTCCTCGATAGAATAATATGCTAGTTATCACTGCTTTCCCAGTAAGTTCAGAGCCTGACTCATAAATATTTATTCCATAAATATTTGTCTTTCCTTTGCAGTCTGTGTTTAGAAACTATGACCATGACCATGATGGGTACATCTCCCAAGAGGACTTTGAAAGTATAGCTGCCAATTTTCCCTTTTTGGATTCCTTCTGTGTGCTGGACAAAGATCAGTAAGTTTTAATTTTGTTATATTTTAATGCAACTGTCCTGAGCAGAAAATTAGTGTCAGAGGAGAACAGGGATACCTTTAACGTACATCCTGACAGCTTTAATCCCAGCGTGTTGATGAGACAAGTCTGATGTTTTGCTGATTTTTTTCTTGGTGTCCACAAACATGACTGGTTGGATGAAATCACAGGGCAGACTGCACCATCGGTGTTGAGTGTGATGCCCATTTGCAAATGAGCCTGAGTCTCCATTTCCCATGTTACTTCTGCTTAGCTATTTCATCAACCCCCAAGCCTCCATCAAAAAGAGTAGGGGAGAAATATAGTTACACCTAGGCTGATAGAGTCCTCAGCATCAGTGGACCTAAGGGCAAGACTAAAACTCACCAAGTAAGTAAAATTATTTTAAGTTACTTACAGTCTTCAGAAAAGCAGGTGATATCTACAGATAGCCAAGAAGTGTCCTCGCTTTGTTTCTCTCTTTGCTAGCTCAAAGGTTGTTTTGATAAATGAAGTAAAAATATATTTCTCTTTAGCTTCAAATGATTCCTGGAAAATTAAATGACTTTAGAGGCTAAGATCCAGCTCATTAGAAAACAATGATAAAATATATACATATTGTGGAGAAACACTGGCATTAGTAATCTGACTGCTTAATTTTTAATTCTGTGAGATTAGTTCCTAGTTTAAAAATCATCTGTAATGAGGTGTTAGATTTTATATTGGTGAAATGTCCAAACTATATCACCTTAGAATTCTTTAATATTTTTGTTGGTGTGAGAATTTTTAAAAAATTAAATCTGTAAGTAATTCAATACACCAAGGAAAGCCTTGATATTTTATCATAACATCTTGAAACCTTAATTCATCTTCATTGTATATCTAGAACAAAGAATACTTTTTAAAATAAATTAAATTATTAGAAACATAAACTTCTTTTACAAAATAAAATTTAAGTTTCCTGCTAACTACCCATTTCCCTTAGTTTGTTTCTGTCCGTGACATGTAGGTAGGACACGAACTTAAAATCACTTCCTATTCTTCGTTTCTTTTTTCTGCTGGTTCTTTAGATGGACCTGACACTGTTCCAGAAAAGATATATAAATACATTTTTTTCTAAAAACGAAGGTTTGAAATATTCATAGCTTACATGATTTTTGTCAAAGAAGCTGAGATATGTTGATTTTGAGAGGCGAGTAAAACATCCAGGAGGAGATTCTAGCAAGCTGTAGATATGGTACCAAGATTCAGGAGAACAGTTTTGGAGATATTGATTGCTAGGTCTTCAGCCCAGCCGTGCAAGCTGAAGTCCCGGGCGTGAGAGCAAATTCTGTTGGGAAAGTTGAGAGCAACATGAGCTTAGGGCCTGAGGACTGCAGCTTGGGGACCCTTCCTCCCACATGGCAGATGAAAGGGACACATGGATCCTGCAGGAGAGCCAGAGAAGGAGGAGCATGGGAGGCAGGAGAGAAACGGGGCTGTGTGGAATCACAGGGGTACGTGGAGGAGAGAGTGTCAAAAAGGAAAAACCCTGTCTGCATGTCACATGCAGCCAGGAGGTCAACAACGTCAAGTAGTGAGCAAAGGGGGTGCCTGGGTGGCTCAGGCGGTTAAGTGTCTGCCTTCAGCCCAGGTCATGATCTCAGGCCCTGGGATCGTTCCCCATGTCGGGCTCCCTGCTCAGTGGGGAGCCTGCTTCTCCCTCTCCCTCTGCCTCTCCCCCTGCTTGTGCTCTCTTTCTCTCTTTTCTGTCAAATAAATAAAATCTTTTTAAAAAAGTGAGAAAAGGCCACTGAGGACATCATTGTGACAGTTTCAACAGAATGGTAGGGTTAGAAGCCTGTTTATATGGAGGGAAGAGTAATTGAAGGAAATGGGGGAAAAAACCCCTCTAATTAATATTCTTTTTGAAAACTTTGGGAGTAAGAAAAGGAAGAGAGAAAAGACAGGTGCCAGGGATGGAAGCAAGATTGAGGAAAGACATTTTCCAGGCGGGGAAGTTGCGAGCGTATCTTTACACAGAGGAAGGAGCGGGTGAAGAGACTGCGCAGAACCTGGAAGGAGCTGTGTCCTGTGAGACTGCAGAGTAGGGGATGGGAGCATGACTTCCTCAGAGACAGGAGGACCCAAGAGAGGACAGATGAGATACAAGGAATTCTGAATTGGCACAGAAGGGTGTGGTCTCCAGCACAGGCCGATGTGGAGAGAAGGCAGTATGAAGATCACCTACTTCATGTGGATTTGATCTTCTTGATAAACAAGAGGTCTGGATATGTGCTGGTGGGTGCAACCAGAGGTTCTGTGTGAAGAAGATCTGGAAGAATCGCTCTAGGAAATGGTCTATAAGCCAGTAAGACATGAATAAAAGATTACCAATGGCAGTGGCCTGGATGACATCAGGCTGAATGAATTTGAGAATGGCGGGCCCAGTTATTACAGTTTTTTGCCTTTCTCTAGCAGCCTAATTCTTGCACACCCTATTGCTAGGGATGCGCTAGAAAGGAGATTTCCTTCTAGAAGCTACCATTTGGTAATGAAGGAGACTTTCTGTGCTACGGAGCACAGGATACACATACGTATCTTCTCCTTACTAAGAGCCTTTGGCACTAAATGCTGTCCTTCAAGGTCCTCTCCTTTCAGAAAGAGCAGAGAAGTAAACACTCCCCACCTGCTTTTGGCCACAAAGGTTTGGGGAGTTGGGTGATCACAGTGTGTCAGCCACTTAGCAACATGGTCTTCAAGATCCCTCCCTTTTCTGATTCTCTTCACAGGGATGGCCTTATTAGTAAAGATGAAATGATGGCTTACTTCCTGCGAGCTAAGTCCCAGTTACACTGTAAAATGGGACCGGGATTTGTCCATAATTTTCAGGAGATGACCTATCTCAAGCCAACCTTCTGCGAACACTGTGCAGGATTTGTAAGTCTGTTTTCCATTGTTTTCTCTTGTGTGTAATTTGTGCCTCATTCTGAGAAGGTAGGAAAATGATACACCAACGGAGTCCATTGTCTGCTTTAGATCAGAAGTAAAATATGATGGCTCCCTGAAATTAAAAACTAAGTTGAAAAGCAAAAACAGGGCGCCTGGGTGGCTCAGTTGGTTAAGCGACTGCCTTCGGCTCAGGTCATGATCCTGGAGTCCCAAGATGGAGTCCCGCATCAGGCTCCCTGCTTCGCAGGGAGTCTGCTTCTCCCTCTGACCCTCCCCCCCTCATGTGCTCTCTCTCTCAAATAAATAAAATCTTTAAAAAAAAAAAGCAAAAGCAAACTCTGCAGGTTTCACTATGTTCTTTCTAGGAATGTAGGGCTGGTGACAGGAAAGGATAGTGAGGCTTGTTAACTCAAGAGAGCAGTTTGTCTGTTAATCCCTGCCAAGGAAAGTTCGGCCCAAGGAGCCTTGGCATTCATGGCTAATACTCATAGCAGGTGCAATTAAGGGGATTATTTATCTTAGCCAGTTCCTCCCAGTTCTTGCTTCATGTGATGTCAGTCACTAGAAATCCATCATGGCATGGCTCAATGATTCATAATTCAAAAGGAAAAAAAAATCTTTTCGGAGGGAAGATAGTTATAATAATAAATAACATTTATTTGGCACTTGACAGTAATGAAGTACTTCCATACACGTTAATGTAATTAATCCTCATGACTAGCTCATGAGGCAAATATTTTATTCTCCCCATTTGCCTATCAGGACAGAGAGGTTCAGAGGGTATAAGTTTCCCGGGACCCTACAGCCCATAATTACCAGAGCCAAGGCTCAAACGCAGGTGTTCTGACCCTAATCCCGTGCTCTACGTACACCACTGCACAGACTGGAGATCGTACACTTCAGTTCCCCACATTGGATAATTCTCTGGCAACTAAGGGCAGCGTTGGTCCTGATACTGAACAAAGACTCATGCGCCCTGCAAGTCTAGTTGTTACCCAGGGTGTAGAAGATGAAAATGTGGTCCTCTAGGTGAGGCTGGCCCGGCAGCCCGCATGACTACCACTCCTCTGTCCAGAGGCCAGAACTCAGCTGTGCTAGCTTCATTCAGCCATCGTGTTCCCCTGGAGACCCATTTGAATTCACGGCTGCTATCACAATTGCCAAAATAACAGTTTTCCCATCCCGTGCTTGAAGGACTGGCTTTGAGGGGCCCAAGGACAGGAGTTTGTGTTCAAGCACATACTCCCCTGAGAATGGGTGAATAAGAGGCAGTAGTTACCTCAAAGATGGCCCCAGGTGGTCACTGCAGTGGATGTGATCAAGGGGCAAGGCCAGCCCACCCAGCTGTCCTCACCCATCCCAGAGAAGGAGAGATTCTTCTTCTGTCAGGTTCACCACTGGGATTTCATCACCCGACCACTTTATCATACAACAAATATGTCTCCTTTTTCATATTTCTTTCCTCTGATGGGAAATCTTGGTTGTATCTACACCAAAAAATGCTGAAGTAGGATAGGGCCGTGTACAACTCTTCTGCAGAGCGGGGCCCAGTGAATCTGTTAGGCCATGGCTTAGCTCCACGGAAAGTCAGGTTGAGACATCTGCCCTTTGGTATGGTGTGAGAGTTGACGGGCTCTTATCAAATCTCAAGGTCTTATCTGTGCTCTCTAGTCCTTCTGGGTATCTTTCCCTTCTGTGGAGGCATGGGTTCTGTAGAAGCAACAAGGTGGTCTTTCTCAGGAGCTTCCACACTTCCCTTCCTGACTCATCAGAGCAGGTTTGCTGGTGCTAGGTTCTTGATGCATCTGTGATAAGGTATAAAGCTCTGGACTTGAGTCTGGAACCCTGACTTTGAATCTCAGTTCTGTCCTTATTAAATTTATGTCCTTGAGCAAATTATTGATCATCTTTGAGTCTCTGTTTTCCTATCTGTAAAAGAGAGTTAATTAGCACTCCCAGTCCAGTGCTCCTTACACCATAGTCCGTCCAAATCCTAAAGCAACCTGAGGTCTCAAATCAAAGGACTGTGGGAAATATTCCTTCTGTCTGTGGCTGGCACGCTGACCCAGAGCCCCTTCCTGCCTTGTGTCGTCTCCTAGTTATTAAGGAGCATTAGCAAGCAGTGCCCTGAGTTTCCCTCCTGCTAGGACTCAGGCTTCACTCTATCTTTTCTAGCAGTTCCTGCAGCTTTGCTAATAATGTGCCATATCTGGATATTAGAATGCTTCTTCTTAAATCTTGTCCTTTCTTGTCCTAGATCAGTGGCTTTTGCTCACACACAAAACACCCAGGAGCAGTGGCTTCCTGTCCTTCCCTCATGTGACACATCCTTCTTTCCCTGCTCACTAGCAACAAGACCTTGCCAAGTGACTTCACCTCTCGAGAGCCCAATCTGTATATACATAGCATTGGATGAGTGAATACACATAAAAAGCTTAAAACTGTGCCTCTCACACAACCAAAGTTAATAAATGTTAGCTATCATTACTATGGGTATTACTATCACCAAGGTCTCTGTGAGGAAACAATTTCTTATCACTGCACAGTTTCCCAGATGTGGGACCTTGCAGATTATTTAATTCTCTGGATCGTCCCACTCACCTTTTATGGGAGAAAAACAAAATTATCTTGAAGGTCCCTGTATCTCTGACATGCTGGGATTACCCCAACCCCACTTCCCTTTTCTGCATAGACTGCCTCTCACCTCTTCTGGTCATCCGAGGTAACAAGCCTTGCTGCCGGTTAGTTGTCTTAATAATCTTTCCTTCCCAGGACACATTTACATCTTAATAATGTACTCCGGAGGACCCGCTAACTTTTAAGACTCAAAGGAATCACTTTCCACTGGTGGAATTCCCTTGTCAGAAAGAGGGTTAAGGATCAGTCTTCCTGATGCCTCGAGTCACTTCACATTGGCAACTATTTATTCTTCTTGTAGGGAGGGTCATGAACAATACCACACTCAGGGCATTGTTCCCCTATCATACATGTAAATGACACCCCCATCAGCCCCAGTAGGCCACCAGCCCTGTTTCTTTCAAAATCATTTTATTACAAAGATATCAGTCACCTAACCTAACCACTAAAAGGTTAAAAATGGGGGTTTTGCCAGCTTGAGCTAAGCCCACTGAATTCATCAATATTGTATGTTTCTGTGTCCCTGGGACCTGTGTGCAATGCTGAGAGTCATGGGGAAGAACACGGTGTGTCAGAGGGGCGAACACACTACCCACAGGATGAGCCTCCGAGCCACCTGGACAAACACCCCCTCCTTAAACTGTAGGCCCTCACATCTCTCCTGAGACACTCGTCACTTACTACATCCTGCTTCCTCTGTGGTTGGCAGAATCAGAGTGTTTTCTGAATCTCCCTGAGCTCTGGCACAGGCCAAACACTGAGCAATCAGAGAATGAATACATGAACAAATAGATCTTTTCCTTTTCTATATTCTTTCAAGGCACAAATGCTACTCAGAAAAGAACCTAGCTCCATGCAAATGCTTTAGTGGGATATGCACCCCGTAGGTTTCTTAATTTCCTGTAGAGGGCGCCAAGAACAGCTGGAGTGATGAAAAAGAAGGCAGAGGGAGCTGGGGGCTTCCAAAAACAGTGACAGTCTCCCTGGTAAATTGAGCTGAGAGCGCATTATACCAAAGTCCAATAAATGTACCAACGTAAGTTTCCCATCCCGGCTCCCATTTGGCTTTCAGAAAGAAAAGGGAAGCAAAGCTGTTATCACCCCAGCTGCAGTGAGCTTCTATCTGACAGGAAGGGTGTCAGGATCAGCTACATCCTGTTTGTGCTCCACCAACCATCATGCTTCCCAGGACTTCCTTCTTTCTGGCCTTGTTTTTTTTTTTTCCCCAGATTTTAATTCAGGTTCTCTCATTCTTTTGTCTTTTGTTTCAGCTCTGGGGCATAATCAAGCAAGGATACAAATGCAAAGGTAAATAAATGTTATTTGGTAAAATTTTAAAATGGGACATGTGGGGCAGGAATCAAATTGTCTGATGAAACCACAAAAACTCTTGGCATCATGGAGAACTCGGCTCTTTGGACCACTGGCAACTGAAGAGGTAATGTGTCTAGGAAAAAAAAAAAAAAAACCTAGAGTTTTGGAGAGCCCCAACTGGAATTTTATAGTTTGTTGTGAGAGCAAGAAAACCATCCTTATCAAGCCACATACATGTGGCCCCATCTCTAGGATGTCTTGTGAATCATCAGCACACAATTAGGGTGGGAACTCTGGAGTGGGACAGGCCTAACTAAAATACCATATGAAAGAACCTTGTCCTTCATGGGAATAAGCACACACTCATTCCCGTAATACATATGCCTTTCCGCTCTCACAGGTAGCTTTTCCTTTCTCCACTAAATCACAGATGATGATTAAAAAAAAGGAGAAGCCTTAAAACTTATTTTTGTCCCTTTCAATGAATTTGTTCATATAGTTCCCCATTTAATTGAAATTTATAAACAAATAAGTATGTACTTGATAAAGGCAATACATATGCATATTAATAGGCACTTAGGACTGTGTTGTTACTTATGCATGTATGATCATTATATATTATTGGTGTTTAATTTAAGAAATTGCTGGATAGTTTATGCAGACTATTTGTACTGATGGTTTTAAGAATCCGACAATGCTCTTAAAAGATATAACTACAGAAGGAAACTTCTTCATCACAGAATGCCTTCAGATTAATACTATTCCCTTATGGTGTCTTTTTTTTTTTCTAGCTATCTTTTAGGCTTGGGCCTCCTGTCGTATGAACAGAGTTCCCTGAAGCTAGATGGGAGCCACCTTTTAGTCTCAAAAACCTTCCCTTTAGTTCCTGGTATTAGTTGTCTGAGTGTAACTTGGATTTTTACTTTCAAGCAGCAAAAATACTGCACTATTTTACCACCTAGCCATAGTTTTATTCTCGCTTCTGACCCTTAGCCTCTAAAAAGACACACACACACATACACGCATGCACACACACATATAAACACACATTTATGGAGATGAAAATCAATTAAGCCCTTGGATCAGCTGTGTGTATACGTATTTTCTCTTAAAGGCAATGGAATGAAAAACTTAATTAAAATAGACTGAACATTTCATTTTAATTTAGTCTTTCCATGATGTCATTACAAGAGCATTTGAAATAAGACCATTTGGGGGAAAAGCAAGTATCTGAAAGAATTAGAAAGGTCCTGTTTGATAGTGAGAGAGAAATATGTTCTTTAAAATGATCCTGTCTGGGGCACCTGGGTGGCTTAGTTGGTTAAGCGACTGCCTTTGGCTCAGGTCGGGATCGAGCCCCGCTTTGGGCTCCCTGCTCAGCAGAGGAATCTGCTTCTCCCCCTCCCCCTGCTCGTGTTCTCCCTCTAGCTCACTCTCTCTCTCTTTCAAATAAAGAAAATATTTAAAAATAAAATGATCCTGGGCGCCTGGGTGGCTCAGTTGGTTAAGCGACTGCCTTCGGCTCAGGTCATGATCCTGGAGTCCCGGGATCGAGTCCCGCATCGGGCTCC